GCCATGAAAGTGACTGAATGAGCCTAATTCTTAGTAAATTGAGTCCAAATTTTGGTTCATGGTTTGCCATGAAAGTGACTGAATGAGCCTAATTTTTAGTAAATTGAGTCCAAATTTTGGTTCTTGGTTTGCCATGAAAGTGACTGAATGAGCCTAATTTTTAGTAAATTGAGTCCAAATTTTGGTTCTTGGTTTGCCATGAAAGTGACTGAAGGAGCCTAATTTTTAGTAAATTGAGTCCAAATTTTGGTTCTTGGTTTGCCATGAAAGTGACTGAATGAGCCTAATTTTTAGTAAATTGAGTCCAAATTTTGGTTCTTGGTTTGCCATGAAAGGGATTGAACGAGCCTGATTTTTAGTAAATTGAGTCCAAATTTTGGTTCTTGGTTTGCCATGAAAGGGTTTGAATGAGCCTAATTTTTATGAAATTGAGTCCAAATTTTGGTTCTTGGTTTGCCATGAAAGTGACTGAGTGAGCCTAATTTTTAGTAAATTGAGTCCAAATTTTGGTTCTTGGTTTGCCATGAAAGTGACTGAATGAGCCTAATTCTTAGTAAATTGAGTCCAAATTTTGGTTCATGGTTTGCCATGAAAGTGACTGAATGAGCCTAATTTTTAGTAAATTGAGTCCAAATTTTGGTTCTTGGTTTGCCATGAAAGTGACTGAATGAGCCTATCTTTTAGTAAATTGAGTCCAAATTTTGGTTCTTGGTTTGCCATGAAAGTGACTGAATGAGTCTAATTTTTAGTAAATTGAGTCCAAATTTTGGTTCTTGGTTTGCCATGAAAGTGACTGAATGAGCCTAATTTTTAGTAAATTGAGTCCAAATTTTGGTTCTTGGTTTGCCATGAAAGTGACTGAATGAGCGTAATTTTTAGTAAATTGAGTCCAAATTTTGGTTCTTGGTTTGCCATGAAAGTGACTGAATGAGCCTAATTTTTAGTAAATTGAGTCAAAATTTTGGTTCTTGGTTTGCCATGAAAGTGACTGAATGAGCCTAATTTTTAGTAAATTGAGTCCAAATTTCGGTTCTTGGTTTGCCATGAAAGTGACTGAATGAGCCTAATTTTTAGTAAATTGAGTCCAAATTTTGGTTCTTGGTTTGCCATGAAAGTGACTGAATGAGCCTAATTTTTAGTAAATTGAGTCCAAATTTTGGTTCTTGGTTTGCCATGAAAGTGACTGAATGAGCCTAATTTTTAGTAAATTGAGTCCAAATTTTGGTTCTTGGTTTGCCATGAAAGTGACTGAATGAGCCTAATTTTTAGTAAATTGAGTCCAAATTTTGGTTCTTGGTTTGCCATGAAAGTGACTGAATGAGCCTAATTTTTAGTAAATTGACTCCAAATTTTGGTTCTTGGTTTGCCATGAAAGTGACTGAATGAGCCTAATTTTTAGTAAATTGAGTCCAAATTTTGGTTCTTGGTTTGCCATGAAAGTGACTGAATGAGCCTAATTTTTAGTAAATTGAGTCCAAATTTTGGTTCTTGGTTTGCCATGAAAGTGACTGAATGAGCCTAATTTTTAGTAAAATGAGTCCAAATTTAAGTTCTTGGTTTGCCATGAAAGTGACTGAATGAGCCTAATTTTTAGTAAATTGAATCCAAATTTTGGTTCTTGGTTTGCCATGAAAGTGACTGAATGAGCCTAATTTTTAGTAAATTGAGTCCAAATTTTGGTTCTTGGTTTGCCATGAAAGTGACTGAATGAGCCTAATTTTTAGTAAATTGAGTCCAAATTTTGGTTCTTGGTTTGCCATGAAAGGGACTGAACGAGCCTGATTTTTAGTAAATTGAGTCCAAATTTTGGTTCTTGGTTTGCCATGAAAGGGTTTGAATGAGCCTAATTTTTAGTAAATTGAGCCCAAAATTTGGTCCTTGGTTTGCCATGAAAGGTTTTGAATGAGCCTAATTTTTAGTAAATTGAGCCCAAATTTTGGTCCTTGGTTAGCCATGAAAGGGATTGAATGATTCCAATTTTAGAAACCCTAATTTTGGTCTTTTGTTTGCCATGAAAGGGTTTGAATGAGCCTAATTTTTAGTAAATTGGCCCAAATTTTAATTCTTGGTTTGCCATGAAAGGGACTGAACGAGCCTGATTTTTAGTAAATTGAGCCCAAATTTTGGTCCATGGTTTGCCATGAAAGGGTTTGAATGAGCCTAATTTGTAGTAAATTGAGACCAACTTTTGGTCCTTGGTCTGCCATGAAAGGGACTGAATGAGCCTTATTTTTAGTCAATTGAGCCCAAATTTTGGTCCTTGGTTTGCCATGAAAGGGTTTGAATGAGCCTAATTTTTAGTAAACTGAGCCCAAATTTTGGCCCTTGGTTTGCCATGAAAGGGTTTGAATGAGCCTAATTTTTAGTAAATTGAGCCCAAATTTTGGTCCTTGGTTTGTCATGAAAGGGGTTGAATAAGCCTAGTTTGTAATAAATTGAGCCCAAATTTTGGTCCTTGGTTTGCCATGAAAGGGGTTGAATGAGCCTAATTTTTAGTAAATTGAGTCCAAATTTTGGTCCTTGGTTTGCCATGAAAGGGACTGCATGAGCCTGATTTTTAGTAAATTGAGCCCATATTTTGCTCCTTGGTTGGCCATGAAAGGGTTTGAATGAGCCTAATTTTTAGTAAATTGAGTCCAAATTTTGGTTCTTGGTTTGCCATGAAAGGGACTGAACGAGCCTAATTTGTAATAAATTGAGCCCAAATTTTGGTCCTTGGTTTGCCATGAAAGGGTTTGAATGAGCCTAATTTTTAGTAAATTGAGCCCAAATTTTGGTCCTTGGTTTGCCATGAAAGGGGTTGAATGAGCCAAATTTTTAGTAAATTGAGTCCAAATTTCGGTCCTTGGTTTGCCATGAAAGGGACTGAATGTGCCTGATTTTTAGTAAATTGAGCCCAAATTTTGGGCCTTGGTTTGCCATGAAAGGGTTTGAATGAGCCTAATTTTTATTAAATTGACCCAAACTTTGGTCCTTGGTTTGCCATGAAAGGGACTGAATGAGCCTGATTTTTAGTAAATTGAGCCCAAGTTTTGGTCCTTGGTCTGCCATGAAAGGGACTGAATGAGCCTAATTTTTAGTAAATTGAGCCCAAATTTTGGTCCTTGGTTTGCCATGAAAGGGTTTGAATGAGCCTAATTTTTAGTAAATTGAGCCCAAATTTTGGTCCTTGGTTTGCCATGAAAGGGTTTGAATGAGCCCAATTTTTAGTAAATTGAGCCCAAATTTTCGTCCTTGGTTTGCCATGAAAGGGACTGAATGAGCCTGGTTTTTAGTAAATTGAGTCCAAATTTTGGTTCTTGGTTTGCCATGAAAGGGTTTGAATGAGCCTAATTTTTAGTAAATTGAGTCCAAATTTTGGTTCTTGGTTTGCCATGAAAGGGACTGAACGAGCCTAATTTGTAATAAATTGAGCCCAAATTTTGGTCCTTGGTTTGCCATGAAAGGGTTTGAATGAGCCTAATTTTTAGTAAATTGAGCCCAAATTTTGGTCCTTGGTTTGCCATGAAAGGGGTTGAATGAGCCAAATTTTTAGTAAATTGAGTCCAAATTTCGGTCCTTGGTTTGCCATGAAAGGGACTGAATGTGCCTGATTTTTAGTAAATTGAGCCCAAATTTTGGGCCTTGGTTTGCCATGAAAGGGTTTGAATGAGCCTAATTTTTATTAAATTGACCCAAACTTTGGTCCTTGGTTTGCCATGAAAGGGACTGAATGAGCCTGATTTTTAGTAAATTGAGCCCAAGTTTTGGTCCTTGGTCTGCCATGAAAGGGACTGAATGAGCCTAATTTTTAGTAAATTGAGCCCAAATTTTGGTCCTTGGTTTGCCATGAAAGGGTTTGAATGAGCCTAATTTTTAGTAAATTGAGCCCAAATTTTGGTCCTTGGTTTGCCATGAAAGGGTTTGAATGAGCCCAATTTTTAGTAAATTGAGCCCAAATTTTCGTCCTTGGTTTGCCATGAAAGGGACTGAATGAGCCTGGTTTTTAGTAAATTGAGCCCAATTTTTGGTCCTTGGTTTGCCATGAAAGGGTTTGAATGAGCCTTATTTTTAGTAAATTGAGCCCAAATTTTGGTCCTTGGTTTGCCATGAAAGGGGTTGAATGAGCCCAATTTTCGGAAAAACGAGCTGAATGAAATGAATTTTTTGTAAACTGGTTCCAATTTTTGGTCCTTGGTTTGCCATGAAAAAGAATGAACTTTTGTTCCTTGGTTTGCCATGAAAAGGAATGAATTAGCCCAGTTTTCAGAAAAACGAGCTGAATGAGCCAAACTAATTTGTAAGTTGTTGCCAAAAACTTGTAGACCAAAAAGTAAATTGGGCTCAATTTTCGGTCCTTGGTTTGTCATGAAAGGGGGTGAATTAGCCCAATTTTCGAAATATTAGGCTCTTATTTGGGTGCCATTATGTCCGTTTTTTCCGTGACAGCTAAGAGACCAGTCGTACTAAAAATTGGGCTCATTCAGAATTTTATGGAAGATTGTATGCAAAGTTTTGACCTTGGCAAGACTTTTGAACTACATAAAATGATGCTATCAGGCGGAAGTCTTCCACTTCATTATGTTTAATAACAAAAAAATTATTCACTAATAGTTAGTTTCTTTGGCTAAGTACAGTTATGGCGTTCTAATTTGCTGATTGCGTTTTCAAGAGAAAACATTTTTGAAATGTCTGAAAAACGCAAGTAAGTTAGTTAAAAACTATTTCCAAAGATTGCAAGGCCAAAAACATTTCTTCCTAGATCCATCAATAATTTAGCACCCAGCGGTCATACATGTACAGAGAGTTGCAAAAGTGCAAGCTCATGGAACTATTAAAAACACAGCTCTTCCAAATGGTGGAGTTCTTTATGCAATTTCGATGATTACGACAACCTGGAGACATGAATTCGATCAGAAAAAATTATTAAAGCATAATGTCTCCGAAATAGGTCAGTTGCTTATTTTTATTAAATTTCTCCAACCCATTTTGCTGGCTGCCAATTATATATAAAAACTAGCCTTGTAAATGATTTTTCCAAGCCTCTCACGTCTTCTCCGATGGTGCTTATCTTCTTCTGAAGGTTGACTGCTTCACTTTGGTGACTCAATTTCCTCATCATACCATCAGCACTGCTACCATCGAAGCCATCAAAGTCATCCCAATCACTCTCGAAGATATCCTCCGCAAAGTCATCACCCGACATTTTTCTCAGCGTAAAGAAGAACTCACGCAAAAGTGAATTAAATTAATCAGTGAAACTAACAAAACAATCAATAAAACGTTAGGCAAAACGAGCAGCGTGCTGATCGTGGATCCATCAGACCATTTTTAAAAATAGTTGCGGTAAATTTTTTTAATTAAAAGTCTTACCCCTAAAAAAGTCTGAGCTTTGTAACTTTACACAGTTTTGATCATTTTATACCTGCGTCTGAACTCAAACTCAATATTAATTTTCTTCTTTGACATCATCAAGTTCACGCAAGAGCTCCAATACAAAGGTACAAAGCTACGAAGATTCTTGAAACTTACCAACTTGAAATGTTGAAATTTAAGTAGATTTTTTATGTCAAACTTCAAAGCAAAAATCTCTTTTATCAGAACCGGTAAAAGTATAAACGAAGATAAAGAATTTAAAACCAATTATAATAAGGAAGATCACTGCCAAATTACATCAATTTGTTGTAAAAAAATATAGGTTTTCAAACTTTCTTTTTCTGGTCACAACTACCATAAAACAGAATTAGCAAATTTAAATTAAAAATTTGAAAACACAGAAAACCACAAAATTTATATTGGAATTTCAAAATAAAAAATAAATAAATGGATTTCCACCATTCCGTAATTTCAGATGCTGACGATTATTTAGAAATAATAAACAAAACTAGCAAACAACATGGTAAATAAGATCACTTTTTATAGTTTTTCTGAAACATTTGGTACAAGTAGTCCGGCGCCAGACAGGCGATAAACTGACCAAAACTTACCATTACCAAGTTTGGCCAAAAGATACTTGAATTAAAATAAACAATTAAACTGACCGGGGAAGCTGAAAAATATTGTGACTGAAAAAACTACTATTAATGTCACGTGGAGTCTTTATTCCCAATAAAAAGACCAATGAAAGGCGTTACTATAAAGTGGCAGTTTTCATGACCAAATATAGAAGAATATAGAAAAAAGCCAAAGTGGCAAGAAAGAATATAAAATAAAAATTTTTTCAAAAGAATATGAAAAAAATTAAAACATTAATCTTCAGAAAAAAAAGCATGAAATTGTCCAGAAATCGACATCCTTCCCTCCGCGAAGAAGTAATTTAAACACATTTCAAAAACGTAGGGCGACAATTCATAACAGGCGACAATTCGGAACCTATTTCAAACCACTTCACAGTCTGTTACGAATTGTCGCTTCACGTGAAAAAGTATCTGTCTAATGTTGCTAAAATACGTGGTAAAATACGTTGGCAACATACTTGTTTTGCATTTTGCAGTAACATGATGTAGTTTAACTATTTAAAGGCACAGCGAGAGCTGACTGCAAAAACCTTGGTTTGGTTATAGGTAGCAATTTTCCAATATTATGTCCATTCATTGCGTTTAAAGTAAGTATTTTGCTGCGTATAATATTTCTGTTTGTTGAAAATTTTGCGGATTTCAGCAATATTGGGTTAGTTTCAAGTAACCTTACAGTGGAAGTCTCAAATCAACTGATATTTCTTGCTAGATGTTATCTTTTTTTGGAGTGAATTACCTCGGCTGTCATTTATTCATCGAAAGTAGGTATCTAAAGTAGGTTTCTGAGAAAAACTGAAAAAATAGGCTGAGCAATTACTTAAGAAGTTCGAAATGTACATCATTCATTCTCCCATTTTGTAAAAATAAAAAATATATATGTTCTTTAACTAACAGAGGAGCAAAACCACTGAACATGAGTGAAAATGATTTGATGCCGGAAAATACTGGAAAAATGAGAAAAGTTTTACTCCTCAAAAACTTACAAACAATTTCATACTGGTAAAAATGATCTGATACAGCACATATTTCTTTAGATGTTCCTTTTTTTCAAAAAATTTTACCATGAATTCCATTTCATCAAATATTCTGGCATTCTGGAGTTTTAATACTAATTATTATCTGGCAAGAAAAATTGAATCTCCAAATCCTTGTAGTTTTTGAGATTTTGCACTTATTTTCAAAAACTTCGAAGTTAATAAGAATTTTGCTTGTTCTAAAATCTCATTCTAAGTGCCTATTTCTTGATAGATGACTAATTATGTAAAAGTTCTTTATAATTGTAAATTTTAATCTTAAATTATTTTATTGTTCCGACCATTTGAAAAATGTGAAGGAACTTTGTATTCGGGTTTTTTAGTTTTTACTTTTTTTTCCTCGCAAAATCAGGAACCACAAATAGTTATTGAAATCAGTAGCGGATTTAGAGGTCAGTTGATTTGTGACACCCTCCCCTCTGGGATTCGACCCCTGCCGACCCAAAGGGTCCCCTTTTGTACTATTTTGAGATATCCATTTTTGGTTGACTGACCTTAAAATTGTTCTAAAAGCGCCTTTGGCGCCAATCGATACTAAATTTAAGGGAGGAGCAAGCGCCGAAAAAACGCAATTTTGTGGTCAAAATTTTCCAAAAAATGCCCCTTTTTTGGCATTATTGAAAAATTTGCCTGCCGCGCAGAATATTTAGCCAAACTAGGGTCTTTATCGGGGTTTGGGATAGCTCAGAAAACCAATTTGTTCGACCTAAAAAGAAGGTCGACAAAATGTTCTAAAAATTTTGAAAAACCGCCCCCCTCTCAAGACATTCCTAGATCAGCGCTTGATTGAAATGGGTCGAATGGTATATCATATAAAAGCCATTGCAGTCGTTATTCGAAACACATCAAAAATTATTTAAAAAAATTTTCAGTCTCGAGAAAAATAACTTGTTTTTTTTTGGCCTAATTTAAAAGCCAGTAAAGTTAGTGTACAGGCTTACAATAGCTTATTTATGCTTAACATAAGCCATGAAAACTTAGTTTCAATTGAGTAAAATTAATTTTCGGAAATTTTAGTGCCAATTTGAGAATCAAAAACTTCGAAATTCAAAAAATAATTCGGAAATTTTTTGAATTATAAAAAAAAAACTTTTTTTTCGTTTCTTTAGTCTTTTTTCTAGAAAAACTGTTTTCCAATTGGCATGTTTTATTGGACTTTCGAGCATGTTTAATGTTTATTTGTTCATTCAGTTTTTTCTATCAAACCACGCAGAAAAAAAACCACCCTAATTTAAGGAAAAAAAAACTTTTTTTTTTGTATTTTTTTAAGAGCATGGACTGAACATTCTGGGCTACTTGCACAGTTATCGTTTATCCTGGTTTCTTTACAGATTTACAAAATTTTAGATTTCAATTTAAGATTAATTGTAGTCTTAGAATCGTCGCATCAAGATTTTATAAAAACATATATTATAACTTATTTTCGTCTATTTTAGTTGTTTTGTTCCTAATACGATTCAATATAAAAAATAATTGACTTGCGTGGAGACTTTAAATAACGCAATACGCATTTTGTTTATCCTGACTGATTTTTTCTACTAAGCGTTTTGATACCAATTGCTTTAGCTAGTTGAAAATAAAGCGTCTATTATAATTTGTTTCCTAATGATTTTGGATAAACCAGCTCTTATTTTTTCTCTTTTCTGCTTCTAAGAAAAAATAATCGTGAAAACTTTTGTGTGTGCAGAAAATCATTTCGAGGACCAAAACACTAGTTTAATTTTGTGCATTGAAGAAGAAATCGGATTTTCACTGTTAACCCGCGTATTGATTCATTTTAAGTTTCATTCACTAGCTTTATAAGTTTGTTTTAAAAACTATTGACAAACAGTACCAGGGCCCGATAAAAAGAGTTTCAAATAAAATTCAATTTAATCACTTGATAATAACTGTTTTTGAAAAAACTCTCATGAATAAGTTGACTGATACTCTAAATCTTATCTGAAGAGCGTTTCTTGATTTTGCGTGGACACTTTTGCGTCGATTTAATTGACAAACATGATTCATTCTGGAAATATCGGCCGGCAAATGATTCTTAAGTTTTTACTTCTAAGAAGGCTGGGGGTGAAATAATTAAAGTTTAAGCACTAAATCCTTGTAATGAGCTTTACTTTCTGAAGTTGAAAGTTTTGCCTTTCTAATTGTTAGAAGTTCTGTTCAGATTTTAGTATCGGGGGTCTCTTGACCTTGTACATAAATAATGGCAGCTATTTTGCTTTTGTATTCTTTCTAAATTGCAACTAAATTTTTTGGCTTAAGAGGGTTATAATTGTTCGATCAATGTTTACTTGAAGTATTGTAGATCACATCGGGCCTTAGCATTATTTTTTTGCTACTAATTACTTTGGGGAGTTATTGAAAAAATATTGACTGTCTCTCTTCGTTTGTTTGCTATCAAATTAAAACTAAGCCTGAAACTTCTTTAAAAGTGTCATCAAGGCGTTTTTGAGATGATAGTGATAATTTACTTAGGAATAATGCAGTTAACGGCAATGGGGAACACGAATGACTGTGTTGAACGATACGGTTGTTCAAGGGTGATCAAATAAGGGTGAATACTTGATAGCTTTTATGAAAAATAAGAAAAAACTTCTTTTTTTCTTTTATACGGCTAGTATAGCCTTAAAAGTTATGAACGTTGAGTGTGTAAGGCTCTGGTATCGAATAGGTGCTGTTTAAAACAACATAACGGGTACGATTTATTGGTTAAACGGTACGGTAAATTCCGTTTCATAACGGTATAAATCAGCTGAATATTGAATGGAATTAAGTAATGCTTGGCAAACTGTGGGCTGTTCATGTTTTCAAGCATGATTTCAGAAATAAAATAAATCTCTTTTCATTTTCTCGAATTTTTTTATTAGACATATTTTTCATTGTAAGCCAATTTGCAACGAATCTTTTTTTATGTTGATATAGCCTACTCAGCATTTGCCTAACTTTAATCTGAAAAAAAAATTACCACGGTAGGGCTCGAACCGTCAAGGTAGAGATTAGCTATCGGCTATGCTAAAGATTATACTACGCGGCCTTATAATGAGCACTCGTACTTGCTTTCTAATAGCGACGTAAGCATATATGGTTTTTAAAAATTTATTGCATTCTAGTTTTAACACTTCAAATTTGTTAACCAATCAGGCTCAGCGTTTAAGAGCGATTATTTGAGCCCGATGAACAAACCCACGCTAAAACCAATTTGACTTAAAAAAGTCGAATTGGTATTATGGATACCCGTTTCAATGCAAAACACACAAGCATAATTGGTTACTGTGCAAGTAGCACAGAATGTTCCGAACATAGTCTTAAATTATTTAAGAAAAAATTCAAATCGCTATCGCTGTTATCTGAAACAAAAATAGAACTTAGACTTAATAGACAGTCATAAAAAAAGGAAATCAATTGTTGTTAGAAAATTGACTAGAAAGTTGAAAACCAAAATGTGAAAGCTTTTTTTAATTTCGATTTTCTTTTCGAAATTTTAGCAGACGTTTTTTGAAGTTTTGAACTGTATATATCCCAAAATTGCGCTACCAAACTCCAAAAACTAATTTTACTCGGTTAAAACTAAGTTTCCACGGCTTAAACTAAGCTCAAGTACATAGGCCAAGCTGCACTTTGCAACCACAAGCGAAAAAGCGACAAAAGGTAGCTGTTGACTGAAAAGCCATCAAAGTTAAAACCAAGAAAAGAAACACGCTGCTAGCTTCCGGAGTCAATTTTCGGACCTGCAGATTAAGAGTCAACTGTCGTAGCGTCAACGACATTTGACAATTTTCAATCACTAACCACAAAAAGCCAAATACAAAGTTTAATGCAGCGAAAGTAAAAACCAGACTAAGGGCCTAGTCAAATGTGGAGGTAACTGTTTGATCATTTTAAATGTACCGATGCATGGCTGATTCCAAACCAAAATTGGTATTATCGTCCGTGCAGGTATACCCTTACAACTCGTTTTTCGATTGAACCCTCAATCTCAAAGTGGTATTTCGGAAAACAAAATTAGTTTTTTGCATAACAATAGCTTAGCAAAATTGAGTAGAAAAACTTCGAAACACCTGTATCATATAGCCTTGAGTTGTTCTTTTCTGAATAAAATGATGCTAGGAAATACTGAACTTGGTAGGAAATACTTTATAGTAGCCGCATCCAATTTTTGAATTAACTCAAGCTAAATAAATTTACTTCAATATGCAATTATCAAATATGACATCTACAAATATTTATATTTACATGAAATCTTCGACTATAGATATCGAAAGTTTCAACTTTGAAGTGTATCATTTCATTTATTCAACTGTAGATATAGAAAGTTCCACTTTGATATTATCAACAATATTACAACTTTTTCTTTCACATCAACCCTTAATCACAAGTTTGGCAGGGTATTTTTTAATAAATTGTTCGAAAAATCAGTCAAAAAATTTTAAGTCTAAGTCGGAGTCGGAGCCAATTTTCTACAGAAAATAAGTTCTTAGCTGCTTTATGCAGACAAAATTGCTGCTTCTTTTGTTTAATTGAAACCCTTAATCTTAGCCAGTTTCATTTATGCAATGACGATTCCTAGCAACTGTACTTACCATTGAGCACTCGATAACTACAATTGAACGCCATATTTTTGGCGTTTTTTTTTCAAACAGAAGAAAATCCCAGAAACGACAACCAGTTCGAAATATAGGCATTTTCTAATCCATAACTAACTACTATGGAAACAGATGCGAAGTAGTTCATGCAGACGAAATCCCCAGTACATGTCCTTCGATTGAAGCCTTAACCCCAAATTTGTTACCTTAGAATGAAAAAAAAACCAAAGAAACTCAGAAAATTCCCCTCACTGAAAGGCCACCGAGTACAGTAAAAAAGACTTGCTCAATGTACAGTACAGGGAAGTAATCGGTCTTTCAATCTCTCTTTAGACTAATGTTGTGAAAATAATGGTTCCACCAAAAGTAGCACTAATATTTGCGACTTAGGTTGGAATGACTAAGCAATTGAAAATTGATTAGCTGCTTTGGATTAAATATAATTATGCGCACTTATACTCCTTAGCAAAAAAAACAGATTGATTATGAATTCCATACTGTTGGTAACTGTCATAATATTTGAAACAATTCATTAGTCAAAGTCTCAAAAGCATTAGATGCGCAGGAATTGTTGAGATTTTGTATGTAGGTGAAATAGTAGAAATGCAAGCAATTTTGTTTTTAAATCAAAGTTTTTGATGGAATTTCTTCAAACCCTTCAAAAGCTAATAGTGCACCTTAATGAAAATCAAAAGAATAAATATTTTTGTTTTGGTGCAGAAAAAACCAATTTCCACTGAAGCAAGCGACAATGTCGTCAAATTAGCCCAATTACATCGCCCACCAAAATTAACACTGACCAATTAACATTTTGGATGGAGAAAAGACGTGGATCATTTGCAGGAATTGGAAACTCAAAACTCCGTTTTCGATTTAAATGAGATAACTCATTTTCAAAAAAGGCCAAAGTTAGTAACACAAAAGAAGAAAGGAATATCACATTGAATTTTCAATAAAAATTGAACAATGTTTTTTTTGCAGTTTTTTGTTTGATTGATTTTTGGATATCGATGAAGAAACATCAAAAGACACTACTGATAATTAAAAATCCCATCATTAGATTTACACCAGTGAGTTTTAAGTGAACACAAAAAAGCTTTTTGTTTTTGCTTCAAGATAGTTAACTCTTAAATGCTTGAGTAAATTAAAAACCATTGTCAGGGTAGACCTTTAACGCGCACAATAGTATGCCTTTAGGCTATCCTCTCTTATTTATACTCGCTGATAGGTATCTTGAATTGTTTATATGTTCCGAATGGTTAGAATAATTTGTTAGCTTGTATTATTAGAGAAATTATTTGTTTTAATTCCTTTTATTTTAATACAGAAGAGACGTATGTAGGTGACCTGTTTTTGCGTTTCCACTTGAATACATCTTCTGAGACCACATTTATCACAGTCAGACTAACTGCAATTAAGACGATAGACAATATGGGACTTTCAGGGCAACTTCAAACAACTGTACCATCACGACCTTTTTAATTATTCTGACTTTAGTAAGTTCTCGGAAAATGCTCGAACTGACGTCAAATTCAGTGCAAATATGCATCTACTGAAAATGAAAGACTTCAACTTTCCAGCACCATTTGTTTTCTAATGCTACCTTTTTTCGCTATTAAAAGCAAGACTAAAGTTGATACAAAAAACTGCAAATTCGGACAAGCTTTCTGGACAAATCTTAGTCTTTTGCAGGGGCGGATATAGAGTTTTCTCGAGAAGGGGGGGGGGGGGATTTGTCGATTTTTTTAGGTCAACCAAATTGATTTTTCGAGCTCTCCTGAAGCACTAAAAATCCCTGTTTTGGCGAAATTTTCTGCGCCGCATGCAAAATTTTGAAAAAAAAAACAGGTAAAAAAAAGACGTTTTTAGGCACTTTTTTCGGCGCGCGCTCCCCCCTCAAAATTAATATATATGGCGACGATTCTTTTGAAACCTACTTTATTATTGAAATCTAGGGATTATTTGCTTATTTGATTTCATTGTAAAAATTTAGGTATAATTTAGTCGTAAAATCTTGAACGATAAAAGTTCAACGATTAGTCGTATCTTGAACGATAAAATTTCAACGGTCCGAACAATCTCGATGAAAAACAGAAGTTGTCTTGAACAGTTTATTTTTTCTCCGCAGTCAGTCACAAATAAATTAGCTTGAGCCCAATATTAGCCACACTTTTTGTCATGGACAATGCAATACCATATCAAAAATCTTCACATCCATTTTCAAACTTGGACCATAGTTCAACAGCGAGTTAAAGCTCCTTCCTTAACAAAAAGATAATGCCATCAAGGATATTGTAATAAAGCAGGGAACAGTATGATTAGATATCAGTTCGCTAAGTTTTAGTTTTCGACTTTTGTTGGGTCAGTACTTATTTAAACTCCTTTTTGGTGACTTTTTGGGCCAAATTTAATTCTGATTACAAAGAAACCATTTTTTGAATATTTTTGAGGTTTCAGGTGAGTTCCAGTTAGATATGTTTCGAAAACTAATACTTGACTTGATTGTGGTCAAATCCGATCCATCACAACATGCAAAATAAACCAATCAAGTTACTGCATCGCTTTTCGTTAGTTGTCTGAATAGCTAAAAATTTTATGGACAGTATTTGGTATTTTAATGGCATCATAAATTTTGATCCTTTTTTAGATTTCTATCTAAATTTTTATTTCATCTATTTTAGATCTGTTGTTTCATCTGTTATTATAGTTTTTTATTTCATCTGAGTAAAAGTAGCAGTTTGTTTTAGTTAACGAATGAAAAAACTTCAGAAATTCGAAGTATTTCTTCATTTTCAGACAAATAACTTGATAACATTTGCTTGAACATTTTGTTTTATTTTTTTTGGTATATGATCAAGCTAGCACACAGGATTATGTTTTTTATTAGAAGACATCAAATAAATAATACAATCTATACACCATCATTGCTATTTGATATTGTTTTTCAGTCTTTAAAGTTTTTTATCACCCCGTGCATGCTTGTTTTACATTTTTAATACTTTTTTCAGCTTATCAAAAATATAATCAAAGCACATTAAAGTATTATTTGCACAAATCTACACTGTATTTTTAATAAACTTTTCATCAAAAATAGATATTTTTGCTTGACCTTTGTAACAAGTAAAAGTCAAATATGGTAAAATAGAAATTTGAAACTTTAATTAATGAATGTCCAGACAAAATAGCACTCAAATCTTGATCAACATGACCTCTACCGCATTTAATGACTCTTCTCGCCCCCCATGACCTCAAAATGCCGCCAGTGCAACTGACGCAGATGTCGTGGGCTCGCTACATGTCGCTTGATCACGTGATAAAATCGAAGTCTCGGATGTTGAGGTCACATCATCATCGCCATCGTCATTTTCTTCATCCTCGGCGCCTTCATTAGGGTCAAAAGGTCGTTGACCTCTCGCAGCCGCAGAAGAATTTGCACGTTGACTTCTAGCTGAGCATTGGATATTTTCTTCAGTTTCATTCATATCGTTGTTTTGCTCATTTTCAAACTGAGTTCCACTAAGTGGTGACTCATGATTCCAGTCAGAGTATGACGTAACTGATGACGCAACCGACTGGTTCTGTCTGGGTGAGTGACCCCCTCTGGAATAATGTTGGTGGGGAGTCTGGTACAAGTTATTGGAACTGTAATTGGCACCACACCCACTCACGTTACCGTTACTCCCATAATAGCTCGAGTGGTAATAATAACCATTTTGGTCCTGGTTATTACTATTGCCCACGCTTCTATTCGTACTCAGAGGCGGGAACGCTTCGGTGTAATTATCATTGCCATAGTTGTAAACATAGGAAGCTGATGGGTAGTGTTGTGTGTTTTGGTTTGGGCCATTTGAGACGAACTGTCCGCCTCCGCCGCCGTTGCCACTGTGACTCGAGAAAAATTGGTTGCCGTGGTGGTACGAACCCACTGAGCTGGACAGTCCGCTGGCATGGTTGTTTCCTTTCGGATAATGGTAGTGGTAGTTATCGCGGTTGGAACCCTTGTTCCTCGAACCTGCTCCATGACCCTTCGATTGGTTGTGATGATGATGATGATGGTTGTACTGATAATGGTGGTTGTTACCATGGTGATAGCTTCCCCCGTTACTCGAGTGCCTCCCACTGCCACCGCCGTTATTACCCGATTGGTTATGACAATGATTATGATAATTCTGATGACTCATCGACAACCCTGTTTGGTCCACACCTCTTGATGACGTCGCAAAGCTCCCGCCGTTTCCCGCGACAAAAGAAATATTGCCAGTATGCATTGTACTCCCGTATTGTGCCGGGTGGAAAAATTGCGTCGAGTTGAAATGCATTCCGTTTGCCGAAGCTGGATGCAAAAATGTGGACCCATTTGCCGGAACGCAAAGCGCCGCGAGGTCAAAATGGGCTAAACGACTCGGCGCCATATGCTGAGCATTTATTCCGAAAACCGCGGCAGCAGCGGCAGACGGACTTGAACTACGGCTGGCGTGAGAAGTAGTTCCATTTAAAGAAATTCCAGGGCTGGAAGAACGACTGAAATGAGAAGGACTTGACAGGGGGTTCGAGACGGTCGAAGAGTTTTCGCTGTAGTATCCGGATTCTGCCATGTCTGAGCACATTTTCAATCTTTCTGCTTTGACGATGTAAACTCTGAACAAATCATTGATCAAACTATCGAGTAAGTTTAACGTGCAAGCTCTCTCAATGTTCATTAAGCAAACTGTGCTTTCGTCGATAATTCTCCTCGCGATCCACAAGAAATTGATGCGATGATGTTCCAAAGATCCGTCGTCTAAGACTCTATATTCTTTCTGCATCTGAGAGTTTGGCACTGAAATATGAACGGGAGTTGAGCAATCATTGCTTAAATTCTCCTTGTCTTCATTAGATTCGCTACTCGACGAAAATTGGTGGGATTGTTGTTTCAAATTCGAAGATGAGTTCTGATTCTGTGCATTTTTCCGCCTTGCTGATCTAGGCGCTTTTCTTAAATGGGTTCTAAGATAATTCTGCAACTTGTTCTGTTGAGAACTTGCATCTGGAAAATCGATAAAAAATCTTGAGCACATGTATCGTTCCATATTTTTGATTTCCGAATCGGCAATATTGTATCCGTTTAAAAGCAAGTTGCAGTACTTCAACAAACCCCCGCCTCTGATTTCTTCAGGCCTCAAGGTTGCAACAAGTTTGTTGTTTAAATGGAATAAAGCTTCATCGAACTTGCCGTACTTGCTTTCGGCCATAACTGTGGGATAAAAATCTTTCGAAAAGCTAACAAAATCATCTGTAATCGATTCGTAGTAACTTAAAAGCGAGTCTAGTTCGATCTGAAACGAATCAACACTAAATTCATATTGACGTTTCATTCGGTGAACAAACTTGACTTCTACATTTTCCCCGTTGTTGTTGTAGAGCGAAATAAGACTCCAGTTGTCGTTATTGTTGGACACTTTCACCATTTTGTGTACATAACCATCATCAATCACACTGTCCGTCAAAGCACTGACCGAGTTATTTGTCGTTCTGACATCACTACTCTCAGTACCCTCGTCACCTGATGCCTGGCCATTGCTGTCGTCAAGTTGTCGCCGACTTGTTTCCGTTCCACATCCAGGAAGCAAGCTGCGGAGCGTGGCGTAGAGCATGAGACGAACGGTGTCGAAGACTTGCTCGTCGTCGGATTTGAGTCCGAAGATGAGATCCAAGTCGTTGTATCCGATGTCGTCAATCATCTGTCGCATTCCGATCACGTGACTGGCAGCTCCTCCATTCAATCGTATGGAATCCAATGGCACTTGTTCGCTCTCCATATTTTTCTTGAGAAGAACAACGAAGTCTTTGAGCGTCACCTAAAGAAAACAGAAGTACTCATTAAAAAATGTAAGACCCTTAAATGTCTTGAATGCCAACGCCAACTCTTTACGTATCAATATTCATTTCTTTTAATGGACGATTGGGGCGGTCTGTAGGATGGACGTCTGCATGAAGAAAAATTCGCAAAAAAAATTACTCGTTAAGTTGCAGGTCATGAGTCCCATGTCCGTAAAAAAATTGATCAATCGCTTAAATCATCTTATAGAATATGTCTCTTTAAAAAAAAAATATGCATTAAAACTCTGCCATCGTCATATCAGCATATTTCCATTTTGTTTCCTCAATAAAAAATTTCTTTGATGAATTTCTTTGTTGTATCAACGATGAAAATAAGTAACATGACGACACGAATAATTCGTTCAAATAACACAATTTATTTGTTTCCTCATTGCGAATTAAGAAGTCTGAATTAGAGAACCTGCGGATTTAATGCGTCTTTGAAGTCCTAAAACCCTATTAAGGACCCTCTTAAATAGCCATAATGGCACCATGCTCTCTCATTTTCATTCAAAACGTATTCACAGTAATCACTAATGGGATATATATGTTAATGTCTCTTGCAAAGATGCACAAAAATAATCTGGATAAAATATCTAAAGAGAGTAAATGACCTGAGCGATATTAAACATTTTGAGCATGCAGAAAAGTATACTAAAATTCTGATGAAATCTCGGATCGTGTTCTCTAGCCCTCCCTCGTTCTATTCAGATAGAATTGAACAGTTAAGCATATACGAATTTTGTACCGTGTACCAAATTTTCCCCCTTTTGTAAAAGGGGGTAGTTAACAAGATGCGCTTTCTTTATTCAATCATGATTTAAACGCCTTTTTAATGTTTCAACCCAAAGTTGACAAACAAATTAACAAACCAAAACAACTTTAAATCAAACAAGACTGCTCGTATCAGGGCGAATTTTTCTAAAATTTGAATTTTTTAAAATTGAAATATAATTTTTTTTGAAATATAAAATTTGTTCCAATTTGGCGGCGGTCAATGACAATTTGAAATTTTGCATATTTCTGCCGTTTTTATTTTCGGCGAATATCAATATTCAGTCCCTGGAAATCTTTACTTTCTTTCCAAATTTTAGATTACTGAAAACTGATTGGCTGATTTTTATTTTCGCGCATTCGGTCCTTCGCATATGAGAGATTCCATCCGCCAGTTTCATAAGAAATCGAATGAAAAAAGGCAAAAAAAACTATAACGGGATAGCTTCCTCAAATTGCACAAAAAAGAGAACATACCAAATTTTTGTATCATAGCCGTTTTTTAGGCAACAAGCGCAGAGAGAGCGAAATTGGTAGAATTTATTCAGAGGCGCGAATTAAAACAAAAAGCGAATCCAGATTTTTTGGTTTAAAACTGTGCATTATTTCTTGCTTCAGATTTTACAATTTTCTCTTTATAATTGGGCATTTCTGGGTTCTTTAATCAATTTGAAAACTTGCGAAACAAGTGAAAAAATCAGTGAAAATTTTTGGAAACAAAATAGAAAACAAACACAAAAAAATACCCAGGTGCATATAAAGAGATAAAATTTCTTCGTTTAAGTCTGCCACATTGTATTTTCCTGTACTTCTAAATGAATATCAATTTAATGATGTAACAAAATTTTAATTTCCGGTTTATCATTTAAGGGGGTTTCCGTTTTTCATCAACAAAACCACCCTGGATTTTCATCAATAAGAGCGAAAAAGCGAAAACATATATATCTAAGAACTTCAAAATCCTTTCGCTCCTTCGAAAAAAGTGCCGTAATAATTGTGGTTGCTGTGTTTTCTTTCTGCATACCTATCTCGACCTTATAACTGGCCGCTTTTAACAAAATTTTCTATACCACCTTAAAAGTATCAAGATTCTAAGCATATATTCTCAAATTCTCCTGTGTTAATTTTTGCAAAATTATTGGGTCTTGAAATTGTCCATTTGGGACAGCTAAGGCGCAATATTTTTTGTACTATTAACGGGTAAACGATCATAACTTTACACATGCCCGGTTCAGAAAACGTTGAAAATTTGAATTGAATTAATTTATTGTTCCAACCATGTGAAAAATGTTAAGGAATTTTGTATTTGGGTGCAATTGAGTTTTTTATTTTTGTTTTCCACAAAAAATCAGGTACCGCAAACTATAATCGAAATGGGTCGATTTATATATCACATTAAAACCCTTTCACTGGTAATTCGAACGATATTAAAGTTTTAAACTTTTTTTCAGGGTCGAGAAAAACCGTTTTTTCTTTGGAAGTTTTTTGTCTAATTTCGAGCTAATAAGGTGAGCATGCAAGCTTACAAAAGCTTATTTGAGCTTAATCTAAGCCGTGAAAACTTAGTTTCACTCAAGTATTTATTTACTAGAGTAAAATAAGTTTTTGGAGTTTTTAGCGCCATTTTGGGAATCAAAAACTGCAGAAACTTTCTGCAAAAAGATTAGAAAACTTTTTTGAAATAATTTATAACGTTTTTTTTGTTTTTCTAGTCATTTTGCTACAAAATCTGTTTTCCAGCTAGCCTAGTTGACTATGAGTGTCGAATAAGCCTAATTTCTATTTTTCGTTCAGATCCTTCGCTTCGCAAACATTAACGAGAGCAAGACAATAAGCAGCTCTATAAAATGCAATAAGAAAAATTATAAATAAGCCTTGAATACGTAAAATACGTCTACGTCTGAGATTCCAACCTGCGACTAAGAGATTGAGGGTCTCACACACTAACCACTCGCCCACAGACGCATAATTGGAAGCAAACACTAGCCTCAAATAAATCAAAGAACAGATGCTATGCAATTTAAATGCTACATAGCGTGCGGGAAAAGATTTTCAAAAACAATCAGAAATTTATTTTTTTGAAAGTTTATTCTTTTGAGTTTTTTTAAAGTTATTAAAAAGATGTTATCGCAAAGTACTTCATAAACGTTAAAAAGCTTTTCCCTGATACGAGCAGTCTGGTTTAGTTTTTGAAATCACTTTTCAGGTAATACGAAATTGAGAGCATTTTCAGCAAATCAAACAAACTGCCGACAACAGGATCAGAATCTTACTTTGACCAACATTATAACTAGAATTCTTTGTGCTTCAATAAAAAAACGTCAAAGTTAAAAAATTATTATGTTTAAAAGGACGACAAAGCGCAAAATTAGATCAAAATGGGGCGAAATTAGAAATGCGAGATTATACCGAAATAAAGAGAGGAGAATGCTTGAACTATTATCATCTCATTGTCGCCTTGTTTTTAATCTTTTAGTGCGAAATCGCACCCTCTATACCATGATACATGCAATCTTAGTACAAGTTAAAAACCTTGTGCCTCAAAACTCAAATGAACCAACCTTTATGTTAGGAAACGTCCCTTGTCCGTGAATCTCAATATCCGAGTTCATCAAATTGTCCAGTTTTGAGAACTGCTCAAACGTCAGAACTTTGTAACTGGACGAGTAACTCTTGCTTCCGCTCGGGTTCTGACTCGACACAGATGCATTTCCACCTGCGACGACCGAAGCGGGAACAGTAAAACCCGCAGACTGCATTTCTATAGCTGTCGGGTGCACTTTTCCGATGTTACTACTATTATTTTGTGAGTTGGAACAGTTTCTCTGTTTATTTTTCTGTTGTTTACTCGATTGTTGTTGATGTTGTTTTCTTTTCGTTTGTTGATCTTTGTCCTCGTTGGTTGTGATTTTGTTGGCGCTGTGGCGTCGTTGTGCGTTGCTCCTCCGTCTGTGAGTATTCGCAGCACTTGTCGGGCACAGCCGAGGCGACGGTGTTTTGCTCGACAAATCAACTGTTATTGTTTCTGAAAAAAAAATCACATTTTAGTCCGGATCTACAAAAAGAGGATACCAAGGCATTTCAATGATGTTCATATATATCCAAAAAATATATGTAAAAAGCCAGAAATATATCACATTACAACTTAAGATAATAGATCAGGTTGCTTAACAGCTTCAATGATTTTTTTGGTCCGGAGATATTACGGTCTAAACTCAATGTCGGATTTCAGCGAAAGGATTCGAAATACGTAAAATTTAGATTTACCTACCAATAATGAGAAATTAGCTAATCAAATCGACCACGTATAATTAAGTTTTGACCAGAATAAGTAAGAAACTGTTGCCAGACAATGTAAAAAGCGTTGCGTCTGGGCTGTGTGAACAAATCTCTGTTGGAATGTCTGATTCTGAGAAACGCAAAGACCATCAAAATATATCTCAAAGTCTGTCTGTCTGCTTTTCTCCTGTGTATAAAAACTCTTTTTGGGGTTTTCTTGGTTGCTGTAAAATAAGAGTTTAGTAGAATAAGACAGACTCAAAATACAAAACAGAAATAGCAAAATTCGAATTTACACGAATTCCGCAAATGTTCACAAATATTGTTCAGATTTCAAGTGACGGAACGGAAGTTATTCGTAAGTTTTGTGCGTCCTTCCGGTGATAAAAAGTTCTCAATTTGGGCAAATTTGAATACTGCTCTAAGCTGGCCAAAATGCTATTCAAACATGTAGGTGTTTTATAGAGAATAGTTAGAGCTTTTCAAATTCGTCGTTTGGTAATTTGTAGATAGATGGTTTAGCGAACTCAAGCTAGCACGTTGGTCTTGTTGCGTATTAGCTCAAAATTGATTCAAATCGCATTTCTTATTCTTGGCACGATTCTTTCGAGCCTTCCAATTACCTTCTTGAGTTGAATTTATTAATAAATGTGACGTTTTAGTTACATTCTAAAAATAATCAGTCATTCTAAACTGAACACGAAACTTGCTCAAAATAGTATTTCAATTTTGCATGTAATTCTAAAAGCGAAACTCGAGCCATTTTGAACAATATTGGTAGATTACTGCGAGCGGTATTACCTTTGCCCTGATCAAAATATGGCACCATTACGATTATTATGAAAACCAAATTGATCGATAGTTTTATACTTTTCTCAGCTAGCTTGACTTAGAAGTCGAAAGATTAAGGTACATTTTTGAGCATTGACTTACTTATCAAATTTGGATTATAGTGACAGTTATTATAGATCAGAGATAGATTCCAAAGACACATATTGACTATATTATGCAATCCATTATGCAACCAACTAGCCTTCACAAACTAGAAATACACTCCTGAAATTGATGCTGATTTTCGAACTAGACAAGTGATTCATAGTATGACTGATTGAATTCAACATGCTGCAGCAGAATCATGACCTTAAGGTATTACTGAAATCAGTTGCAAAACTGTCCCTGAGCTGAATACGTTTGGAAAATGAAAACTAGCTTCCAAATCTATGATAGTAAAAAACGAAGGTGAATATAAAAATAAAGTGAATCAAAAAAGGGTTCGAACCAGAAGCCTCTCCTTGATTAGCTCAAAACAAGAAGTGCTTATGTCGATTGGCACACTTTTGAGCACAGAAAGACTTACGTTGAGCACCGATTTGTCATGTTGTTTTGATTACTCGAAGAAAACTTAAAAAAACTTTCACTAAAACATAAAAAGAACTATAAATTTAGTTTTTTATTCAGATTTTTTCTAGATGTTTCTGTATCATCAGATGCAAAAACCTTTTTCAACACTCCTGGTTTCATAGTTTTAATCAATGTTATTTATATATTTTGACATAGCCAGCAGACTGTTGAAAAGGAGTCAATGAAAAACGAATTTCAAAAAATAGATGCCATTAAAACTAATTTAATTTCTAGAACAATTAATGATTGGCACTTTTTCAATAAAATTAACCCAGTTTGAGAAAACTGTATCACTAGATGATTTTTCATTCAGCTGTGAAATCTACAAATTAAATTCACTTTCAAAACTAGAAGTCGATGACGTTTTTCGTGACATTTACACTCCTACTGCTCGATAATGGATTTTGCTCTCATTTTAACAAAGGAAATGAACTGAACTTGATAAGAAATCAAAAGTCAAATCACGAAAAATTGAATTTGAGCCTGAACAAATTTAAAGATTTTTCCTGAAAAAGAAAACAAAATAAAACCATCGCGAATTATATACGAGCCTGAACTACATTCATCGAATCTTAATAAACTGGGCCTATCTGAGAAAACTGTAAATTCAAAATGTCACATCATTAAAAATGATCAGAAAAAGAGAAATTATAAAAGAGAAAAAACACTTGTTGCGCTTCCAGGAATATAATTAATTCTTTTATCTTTCAAAAAACGATTGTTTATTTGATCAAAAACTTCAATGAAATGTTTGAGATTCTTTGAACTCTCAATTGAATATAACTACTACAGTTGAACTTCAATTGAATAAAACAACTACATCGTTTCGTACATGCTTTCATGTGGTTTTTTGGGAAAAGCACAACCAAATATCAAACGTTGCCTTTTCCGATTATCCTCGATTGTCTTTCTTGACTCTGGTTTACCGAAACAAAAAGGACAATTTTTCTGAAGCATCACTAATTTTTGTTTAAAAAAGTGAAGATTGTTCACAATGGTTCTTCTTATTTTGTTTTCAATGCAGTCAAGTAAGTAACACTTGCGCTAATTTCTATCGAATTTCAAGACTTACACAGAGAGAAAGGCTTACGACCTAGTGCGACCTAAAAAATATGAGTCTAAGTTGTGATTATAGCAAAAGCGCCACCAACTAAATGAACATTTTCCTATTTCAATTAAGACTTTTCTGTGCGAGTCAAGTTAGAAAAAAAAGAGGTTCGTACTAATACACCAAGCTGGTCGCTAGAGAATTTAAAAATTTATACTAATACGAGCAGGACCGGTTGCTGTGCGGGTAGCACAGAACGTTTTGACAAAAATGAATGAATCTAAAAACGTTCCAAAATGAAAATATATATTTATATATATATTTCTTCTCCGAGTCTTCTGTTGTTTTTGCTCAGTCCAGGCGTTCGAAATAGGTGAATAACGGCAAGAAAGAGAGGTTATCACAGCTCAAATAACATTAATTTTGTAGTAGAATTAAATTGGAGACCAGCATTTCATCGTGTCATTTAAACTGAAAAAATGGTGAATGAGAATTTTTTCAGTTTGTTTGATTTCGATTCACGGTCATTAACACCTGACCCCTGAGAGCTTGCTTTGAGGTAGTCAAAATTGGTCGGAAAAAAAACAGGAGCTAACCCACAATTCTTTCTGACCACTTTCGATGATGCGGTCGGAACAACAAGAATAGCCCGTTCCTTAGCAACAATCGCAGACTGTTTCGATCACAAAGATTGAAGTGATGAAATAAAAAAAGTAAGAAATTTACTAAACATTAAACTTGTTTTTCATTTTTTTTGCTTAAACTTCTGATGTTTTATTTTTTTATTACACGGCAATTCCAATCCAAACGCAATTATAAACACTGAGGCGAAGTTGCACTTCACATACACTAGCACGAATATGACCGATAAGGCTACTGGGAAAAACTGAATGAGTAAAACTTTGGGTCTACAAAATTTCTGAAGCGACGCACGCCAATTATGGGTCTACATAATTGCTAAGTGATGCAACCTAATTATGACGCAGTAGCAGTACCAGTCAATTTGATAAAAAATGTATCAAATAACATGCTTCAATTTATAGAGCGGACGCATTTTAACTAGTATAAGAAAAAGTTCATTTAAAACATCCGAGCTTGCCTAGGTTCGAACCCTCTTTTTTTGTTGCGGGTCTCCTTCCCTACCTCTACGCTACAGATCTATGATACTTTGAAGCTAAAGTGCTATTTCTAATATAATAGTCTGTGTTCATATCCTTAGCATTGGCTGTACTTAATAGCTGGTTAATGATCAAAATGAACTTTCAAAACGAACACATTTTTGTCGCAACAGTATTTGCGAATTAGGTTGCAAAAAAAGAGAGTTCATACTATATAATATTAAACATCAAACCCCCATTTAGACTACTCCCATTTGAGGAGACATTGGTATTATTACTTACCATTTTCAGATATGCTTTCCCTGCTATCTGAATTATGCTCCGGGAGTCTCCTCATTTGTGACGCACTTGACCCTGATGACGTCACCCCGCTGGAATGGTACTGGTACTCCGGCTCGTGATCCTCACAGTCAAAAAACTTCTCATTGTCACTACTTCCCTTCGAGTTCGCATCCGAATCTGAATTTTGATTATAACAAGTAATGCTTGGAATGTTATTACTGATATTGTGTGCTAAGATAAATTTGGCCAAAACGTTTTTGGTCGGACTTGGGTTCGAACCCGTGCCTATCTGTTGAATGGATGAGACTCGGGGACTATCGTGACTGTGCGAAAGTCGATTTTTGTTCTTCCTACGATTTTGCTCGCGTGAAAAAGAACTCCTGGCTGAATTTTGATCAGGAGTTGGAAGAAAACTGAACCGACTTTGCCTGTAACTCTGCAAAAACTCAGGGTCACAATCAAGGTCAACTGAAGCGTTATCGTTATTTGAAATCCCAGTTCCAGTAGAAGTCATGCTACTTCTTCTAGAACATTCGTCGTCTTCGTCATCGTCGTAATCATTCTCGATAGGAGTATCGATTGATTCCAGGTCACTTGGCGTGCCTTCAGTTCTGATTCGTTTTTCACACTCAATTTTATTGTCGGGTTTCAAGTTAGTTTCTGAGACAGAATCATTCGTTGCTTCTTCGGAGTCCGAGACTATTGACTCTTCGTTGCCTTTTAAGGCAGAATAAGATGAGTCAGAACTTCTCAATTTGAACCCAAAGATAGACTTGAAAGACGAGTCTTTCTTCCGCATTGGCCCGCTAGTCTTCGCATCTGTTGTTCGGACCTCGGCAGACGATGATTTGTTTCTCGGACCTTCCGTTCCCCTGTTTGTTTCATCCGATCCCTTATCTTCAGATGAATCGGCTTTCGACTCCTTAGAATCACTTTTGAAGTTTGAAAGCAAGTTGTCAATATACGATAACATTTTGCGGGCTTCTTTATTCAAGACATGAAATTTGAGGGTAAAATGGTTTAAAATGCAAGCTTGATGGAAAATTTTGGTCTGAAAACTTGAGATTTATGAAAAATTCAAGGAATATTTATCAGTTAATTATGGAATATACCTACTTAATGGTAATTTCAAAAATATATTTATTCAAGCTTCGAATTTCTTGGTTGGATGGTTTGGTGACAGAGGGAACTTAAAAATAAATGAATAAAAGAGCGCTTCGCTTGTTTTAGAATAACAATATGAAGTTAGAAATACAGCAAGTGGTGTTACGACATGTAATACCAAATTTGAAGGAGCATGAACAAATATTGGATCAAATAAAACTGATAGAATTTTAAAAAGTGGTGGTAAATGTAGGACAAATTGTGAATGGTAATGAAATATTGCGCTGTCAGCTTTATGCTTTTTGTAATAAAACCAAAGCTTTTTCTTTAATTAAGCAACAGATGCCGCCTTCTCTTGTTCTACTTTTCCTCAATTCACACTCTTCATTACTCTATTTTTAAGCGAATCTGAGCTTCAAGTCAAAAATGAGACCGGTATATTTTAGTTAATCGTAAAAATTCAGATTAATACAGGAGATTACAGTTTTGGTAGCTATTTTGGGATATTCTTAAAATATCAGTGGACGTCTTTAGAACTGTAAAATCGAACACAAATAGGCTGAAGACGAAACAATAGAACGATAGACGCTATTAAAAATCAAATTAGGATAATAATGTGTGTAAAATTGGTCAAAACTAAACAATTTTTTTTGGAGTCGGAATTTACTTCGCCTGTTAAATTAAAACAAAGAACTCTACTACTCAATGATAACTCGAAAAAATATTTTCAAATCTTGGATCAGAAATAGTAATGAAAACTCTTTGGAGCTGTAATGATTTTCCAAATGAAAGAATACGTAAATTTAATGTGTAAATTTTTTCTGTGACGTATTTTTGTAGCTTCAGTTTTTTCAAAGAAGCGATCTGAATGTAGTTTTGGGTAAATGGGCTTTTGAGCAATAAAAATTGGTAAGAAGAGGTAAGTAATGGTAAAGAGAGTTAACTTCCGCTTGTTCAGAATTAGAATGGAAAAAATAGACGTCGTTATCAGTAATTGTCGCTCGTTGTCCACAGTGTAAGGTTACGTAGGTAATTCCCTGTTTTGTAGACCTAAAACACAAGAAACTGAACTTAAATTGATTAAAAATACACTTTTCTAATTTGCACAATAAATAGAAGGGAAACTTACCGAAATAGATTATTGTTAAGAATTACAAGTAAGCAAAGCAGCAGCCCATTAAGCCAAGGAAATAGAAATGAAATTTAATTACAGTCGATATTTTTAGCACAATTGCCTGTTGCCCAAAAAGGTAAAAATCTGCCTCTTAAATATTCTTAAAACAGGATATATTTAACCATATACATACCCATCTTGGCTGATTAAAATGGCATTAAATAACTAGAGCATATTCTAAAAATAGAGAAACTTAGCCGCGACACAACGACTACAACATAAAGATAGAGATTAGTAATTGAGGCTAAAAATTGACGAAGGGACTTTGAATATGTTCATAAACAGCCGACGTCATCAGAAAAAAAAACGCGTGACTACCTTATGAAGAGAGAGGAAGTGCTTAGTGAAAATAGAAGCGAAGCACAAGACTTCATTACAGGAAAAGGGAAAGGGGAAGGACGAAGCTTTAGAAGGGCAAAAGCTTGAATGAAAATTTCAAACTGATTAATCAAAGCAGGAGCAAAAATTATAACAGGCGAAGAAATAAAACCTGAGGTGAACTTATCCAAAATACGACCACAAAAAGGATACTGCAACCCTCACTTGGTATGTTCTCCGAAAACAAGGAATTCTATCTGAACAAAAAATGAAACCAACCACAACTGACTTCTCATTTCGACTACCCGAAGGCTGAAATGTATTGCATTTTTAACCATGGATGAAAAATAATGAGCACATCTACGGAAAAATTCAATTTAAATCAATGTGACGCCTAAATATTTGCTTGATTGACAGACCAGAAAAGATACTCCGCAGTTAACGTACGCGACGAAAAACCAAATTATTAATCATTTTTTGTTTTACTTGGCATTAAATTCCACAACCTCAGCTGGGCTAGTTTATTGAAAATGCAATGCAATTCTTTTAGAATGTAATCAAAGTCGGAAATAAATCACATAGAAAATTCACCAAAATGAAACTCGAATTCTGAAACAATTCCCAGGAATAGCGATGACAACAGTCGTAACTTGCCTCTTAGAAGATTGCACAAAAAATTGCCGTTGGTAGCGTTTAAAAAACGAATTTTGTCCAAGACTAGAGCTAGAGATTGACCATTTTATAGCTAGAAATTGTGCCGACCACAAATTAAACTTTACAATAACTAACTAGTAGGTCGGCTAAACTAATCTGTTGAATAGTCGTAAAACTGAAACTTCCCGATGCGAAAATGAAAAAATATCCTTTTACCCGAAAATTTAAATACTTCCATCAAAAAAGTTAAACCACAGAAAAATTTCACTAAGGAAATGGTCGCAAGCCGATTCGAAAGCTCGACATTGAAAAAAACTGTGACAGTCGAAGCTTAGCTGGCTTTATCCAATTATTCATCAACTAACAATACAGAGAAAGCAAAGACAAAAGCCTTAAAACATTAGGCTACAAAAGCGAAGTTGCACTTCGCAAATCCGAGCAAAAAACAGAAACGAATCAAAAACAACAATACAATTTTTTTTTTAATTTATGAATTTCAGACTTTTCTTTTCACTCTTGACTGTCCATTTTCAGCGCTTTTGGCCATTTTGAGAAATGAGTCTAAATGAGTTATGTTTCAGTATTTAAGCAATCGCAACCCTTGGAGAAATTTCTTAAAAAATAGAATTTAATTACACAGTCGTAATCGCCAAGCACAAACAACCGACTGATCGTACAAGTGCTAATAAACCCTGAACGTTCTGACTGAACTGAAATGTCTATGAAACATATATTTTTAAATTGATCGAATTTTCAACAAATTGCAATTGCAGTTACAAATTCGCCATCAGGCTATATTAAATCATGAAATTAGCGTCCAGGTATGTATTAATAAGACCAAATAGCTCGCCTCATTTCAATTTGGAATAATTTTTTAGCCGGAGAACGTTGCTTACGCCGCGTTAATAGCAGAATGAATATCGCACGTTTATTGTCTCAAATTGGCAATGATGTTCAAATCCCAATAAACTCAAGAAAAAAATCACAGATAAAATCTATCTAAAATTTGAGCTCACGGCAAAATGTTATTACCTTTCAAATGATAAATAATCAATACAAAATAAGCTGGTTTATAAGCCGAAATTTCTTTGAAAACTTGAAAAATCACACCGAGCACCAATATTTCATCCTTTTTTCCAAAGTCGTAACAAAAACAACAAAAAAGACCGAAAACTTTCACCGAAAATACTTAACACCAGACTCCGCTTGTTTTACTTAAAGAAACTAGACAAAAGCAAAACAAAATCAAAAGTCAAATCGAGAGAAAAAAAAATTTGAGCTTAAAATTAACTTAAACAATATGGACTTGCATTAAAAACGTGACGCCAATCGCTTTGACAAAAGAAGTAGAACTGGAGTAAGTATGTCTGACTTTTAATAGGAGCAGGATATCATGCTGTTTCACGAAATAGAAAAAAAACTGACCTCAAAAAATCTAGACCTTCAAACCAATTACTACTGAAACGCACATGTCTTCTGATCTTAGTCCCAAGCCTTCCCCTATCATAGCAAAAATTAGCGGTACAGCAAAACCATAGCAGTACAGGGAGTTGCAATACTAAACGGAGGCAAAATTGCGTATCGAAGTTCAAATATTTTCAAACATAAACAAGAAAAGCTAGTTGCTGCGCAAGAAGCACAGAATTTTCAGGCCACAATGATTTAAGAAAAGAAACCAATAACGGAGTAAATCAATGAAACTAATCTAAACTGAACAAAACAGGCTCGAAAAAGAAAAAATCTACAATGATATAAAAACCAGCATACGAAAAACTCATCAGCAAGACTAAACACAGACCTTTGAAAAATGCTAACAAATCTTTGAAATAACTGATTTTAAGAAGCCCGGATTTTAAGACTCCTCAGCAACTAATATTTCTTTAGCTCTTTATTTCAATTTAGCTAAATATAAGATCAAAGACAACAGCCGTCGTGCAAGCTCGATAAAAAATTTCGACCGAGTAAAACCGTTCAAAACTAACAAAAACAATTTGATGTATTATTTAAAAAAAAATCCGCACGAATTCACTGTAATTTTATGGTAAATTGAGTGAATTAAACAAAATATGACGTTGTAATAAGCAAGAGGTGAAACGCAAATTATACTAACATTTCTAGTGCCATTGGAAATGAGGTGTTCAGTCTCTCGTGAATTTATATATTTAATTGAAACGGAAAATTATCTGGAAAGTTTTGTTAAATCATATGTCAAATTAAAACGGAAAAAATAGATCCGTTTTTTCTCGACACTGAAAAAGTGTTTTCGTTTTTTGAAATTTAAATCACGACTGGACAGGATTTTGCACATCGACACTCTACAAATGATCCTTATCTTATCTGATTTTGAGTCATAAAAAACCTTAGCGATAGTTCCTTCCACACTTTCAAAACTTCTTTTCACAAAACCACCTTTGAAACTTCAGCTTTTGTTTTTTTCGTACCAGAAAAAAATAGAGTAATTCAAAAAAGATTAGGTAAATTGAAACCCTCCAAAACATCCTTAACTTGACATACTGCAATTTTTCAAACTATTTCGAAAACCTCAGCAAACACGTTAGCTTTTTGTTCAGCTTTTGTAGATAAATCTTCAAGTACCTAAGTTGAAATTTTAACTCTGGTGTCATAATTTTTATAAAACAGCTTTAATTGATTTGATTTTTATAGTGTTTGAGATTTTCTGTTGTTCATTAACAAGATTCTGGAGAACTAAATTCTTTGTCTATTTTTATATGAAGCTGAGTCAAGAAACTTAGAGACCAAAAAAAGTAGAAAAAAAAATAATTTATTCTTCATTTAGCACACATGGTAGCAAAAAAAACATAACACTCATGGCTGAATTTTTGTACAGACGTACCTAGAACTCACAATTTTTAATTTCAAGAGATAAAACGAACAAACACGTTTATGCCGTTTTCTCAACAACTACTAGAGATTCATGGCTGAAATTTTGACATACGATGAATGAAACTGTATTTAAGAATCTAGCCGGATTGAAACCTATTGTTTTCAAGGGCAATTAGTTAGAAGTAACAGAGAGATGTTCTTAGAGCCAATAAACCCTGGTTATCAGTAGGAGCAGTCTGAAACTTACGATTTAAAAACATTCGTTGGAAAACTTGCGATCTAAGCTGAAGACCTCCACAAAAATGTTCCATTTCTTAAATAGAATACAAAAAGCTGCTCACCTACGAAATAAAAGCTATCTCAAATTTTGGCATTTTTAAAGTAAATTGCTGAATTTTCAGTCAATTTCTATCAAAGAACTAAACAGAAGTTGAAGTTCTTTTTCATGAGAATGCAACCTGTATGAGGGCCTAGCTTAGATCTTTAGCCTTCCAACGAATACTTGTAAGTCCAAAGTTTTTAACTGCCTCGGCTGTTTATTGGACTTTTTTGCCACTAAGAACAACTCTCTGATGTCCTATAATTGAAAGGCCACACGATGCCTTGAAAACAACTTTCATAGTTTTTATCTGGCTATTATCAAATTAACAGTTTCATCCATCATATGCCAAATTTCAACCGCGAATCTCTAATAGTTGTTGAAAAAATCTCTAGTAGTTGTAGCTGCAGAAACGTTAAAAGTTTTAATTTTTTTCATTGCTTGAAAACTCAAGTTTGCAAAAACTGTGTCCTGTGACGATATAAGTCTGATGTAAAATTTTAATCTTTGCCAGGAAAATTTGGGGATTTGATTCAAGAAAACACAAAATTGTACCTTAAGGCTAATAAAACACCTTGAAGTTTGTGACTCAATTTAAATGCTACTGCGCGTTGTATTCTTACCTTTATGGTGCGACAATTGCAACTGATTTGGCACGATTAGGGATGTTAAGTAAGCTAATGAAGCGTTTATAAAACAAAATTAGGAAATTGTACTAACGAGTGATGGTCAATCACAGCGGTACATTGGTCACTCTATCCTCTGAAAATGAAACTCAAACACCGTCTTCTATTTACAACGATAAGCTGACCAATTGTGATTTCAAAGATTCAAAGCTAAACTGCCGCTCCTAAAAAGCTTAAAATAAGCACTGCGAATTACGCGATGAATGCGTTTAATTTGGTCTTTCACTACGATATTCTTAAAATATCCAATTTTTATTCGTCAATTAACAACGTGGGAAGAAATTCGTTATCAAAAGAACTAAAGAATATTAAAATCAAAGGTGAAAAGAGGTAAAAACAGGAAATATTGAATATCTGGAAATGGCAACGTCATCAGAGGAATAGGTATACAAAAATTGAAATAAAATGAAAAATTGAAGATTGGAGCTTAAAAAAAACAAATATTTTATACTAGGCGCACTTCCGCGTGCTTAATATACCAACAAACAAGAAGTGAATGATGATTTCACAGGTAAACAAGATAGCAACAACTTTTGAATCGATGAAAGAAATTGCGTAGGGTGAAACAAAATCTGGTTGACGTCCCGATTAAATCAATTTGTTGCCATCCGTTTACATGTTTTTGTCCTTCTGCGTCTGTGAATCTAGTGCCGGTTATTACGCAATATAGTTTGGCGCGCGGGAACAAATATTACGCAAGTTCCTCTCTCGTCCTAAGGGGATTCCGATTTGGTGTTTCCTTTTTTGGAGGTTCTTACCTTTTATGAATGGAAAAAGGTAAATACATATTTTTATTCCGCCTCTATTTCTCTTATCTTTTGCGTATCTATAGTGTGTTTATCTCTACTATAAAATACAATAGCCCCAATATATCAACACTAAAAACAAAAGTATAATCGAATGAACGGTTACAGGGTAGCTTTTTCAGCACTATACGGACCTTGAACAAGAAACACGAAGGGGTTTACCTGAGAGCGAGAACAAGGTAAAAAGTCGGTGCATTATACCATCGAGTGACGCAAGGGAAGCACAAGAAAAAAAAACAAATATCCAATTCATATCGGATATTCTTGTCTGACCAAAAAAGGTAGCGCTAGAAATCAATACATCAATCAAGAATAATACAATGACGCGCATTGAAAAAAACAATATTAAGGAAACTTGGTACAAAAGACGTCAATCAGTCTGAAGAGAGAAGGATTACATCAAAGTATTCATCTAATCCCAGATAAGGTCACTTCGTTTCCTAATTTTTTCACTTTGTTTCCTAATTTTTTCCACAATTGACACAAAGGATGCACTCAAAAAAGTTGAAAAATAACAAACGCCAATTAAAACATCCTTCTAAAACTCAAAGTACACTTATTGCAAAAATCACAGAGACTTTTACCAGGCTTCATATTCTGAAAAAAAAAGATAAAAAAAAGCAAGAAAAGATTCTGACCACAAAAAATTTTGGAAAAAATTCGGAAAACGATTTTTAAATTTTGTTAGTTCGTTTTTAGGAGAAGAGATAGATACCAAAAACAAAAAAAATCTTTAACAATTTTAGTGACCTTGTTTTAGATTGTTTGAAATTTTCGTGCCGGCAAAGCACAAACTGAAGCTCCTTCAAACGTTTTTTTAGAGCAAGCAAAAACCAGCCATTCTCGAATACACTAATAATAAAAAAAACTCAATTTGAAAAAGTCAAACCAGGCCGAAGAATCTTTGATGAAAAACCGCAAATCGATATTTTTCTCAATATTTACAATCAGATAAAACCATAACTTCAAACGATTGGATTATAGCAAGCGTAAAAATTTAGGACTCAATTCTATTCAAAGCCGTCTTGTTACTAAAAAGAGAAAAATCATGAAATAAGTTGCAAATCAAAACATTCCAATCTCAACCATAAAAAGTATCACGAATTTTTTCTTCAAGTTTGTAACATTTTGTGAGTGGCATGATGAGATAGATAGACTTGAAGGAAGCTTAAAAAGTTAGTATTCTAGACATAACTGACTGTATAAAAAACGTTTCCTAATATAACACCTACTCGCTCGCTGTACTCGAGCGAGATTAGACTAAAGATCAGGTGGTATTTTGGATCCAAAACTTCTTACAAGAGTTTTTGTTAACTATCAGCAACCTTAACAATTGTGTATACTCTACTGTTGCGAGACTTCAAGTTTATGTTACCATTTGCCGTGGCAAGAACTTCATCAAATTCAATTATGTGTTCCAAGTTTAACTCCTAATAGAGCTCTGCGCAGTGGACGTGTCACATAGCTGATGATCAAGAATAAAAAAATAGCGAGGCATCCTATTTCATCCGAGCCTCAAGGTTGAACAATGATCTGCAAGATAAACTCGGTGCTGATTTTTTTTCCTAATGATGATTCTATTCAACTGTTAGCCGACTACTCACCAGAAATATACTTTACAGAACAGCTGTTCATGGACTATATGGTGATATTGCACGCTTTATATTCTTTCTCTGTGTTTTTCTTTTTGTAAATTCCCCTTAAGGGTAATTAAGTATTAAAAAACTAATACTAAAAGGCAAAACTATCAAACCGGTTCTTCTCGACACCAAGAATTTTCTTTTGAATCAAGACTGAAAGCACTTTAATATTAAATATTTTCTGATTGCACTTTATTATGGTAACAATAATTATTATTTGTGGTACCTGATATTGAATGGAAAAAAGTTCCAAAAATTCACCCGAAAAAGGATTTTTAGCAATGGACACTTGCAGATCAGCTCGGTCTTTAATCTAGCCCAGTCAAGAAAGCATAGAACGTTTTGAACTTAGTGCTTCGATGAAAATCTTTCTGCAATGATAATGGCTGAGAACATAAAACAAACAGCTACCAATGCACCACAGAACTGATCAAACGAAAAGACAGTTGGAAAAGAGTCAATGAACGCAAGTGAAAAAAAACTGACTTGTTTTTTTGAATAAATCAAATTTCAAAGAAAAAAATAGATGGTATTAAAGATTTTTGAGTTTCTAGAATAATTTTTGATCTGCACTTTCTTGATAAAATTATCCCCATTTGAAAAATTCAATCAATAGGTAAAACTTTTATTTCACTAGGAAATTCGATAATAAATTTCCACTCTCGGAACTAAAACTCGATCACGTTTGGTGAACTTAACATTTTTGCTCAATAGTGCAGTTTGCCTTCCTTTTAATAAAGAAATGAACTGAACCTAAAAAACTCAAATATCAAACCGCGAAAAACTCAACTTGAGCCTGAAAACAATTCAAGTCTTTTCCTGAAAAAAAAACTACGTTCATTGACTCTTAAATATATTGATGGAACTTACCTTCTCAAAAACAGATTTTAAATAAAAATAAACTGACTAAGGTCTAAACTCTTATTACTCTGTCCATTCCTTCTTCTATCTATCGTGCTTATCCTACAGTTCCATCCACTTATCGCTTTAAATCCGACAATTTTTTTCTCACAATAATTCATAGCAAGAAAAACCAAGGTCATAACTAATGAATTTTCTGGCGAACAAAGAACAGTCTATGAGAAAAAAAACTAAAAGTCCGAAACAAAGTTCAAAAAAATTAGGGCGCTGTTTTAAAATTGATTTACTAATGTTTTCATTTTGCGTAAATTATGACAATGATTTCTTCTTTTAAATATCGAAATTTATGTTAGTTCGATTTTCTTTGTTGACTTGTAATTTGCGATATTTATGGTTAATTTACGCATAAAATGAAGTTTTGCCAATCAATCAGCTAACTGAAACCGATGTACCTCAGAACCGAAACAAGGCAGAAATAAACTTCGACTCAAAATTCTTAATTGTAAAATCTTATTGCTGCCCAAATTTGGAACGAAAAGGCTATGAAATGATAGATGACTCCATTCCATTTGACGTTTATGGGCCCTGATTTTAGCTTAAGTTGGTCGAACATCAACAATAGCTTCGAGGGAAAATTTTGCTGACAATTATGTTATCTGAGAGTGTAAAAAAATGCTCCGGATAGAAAATTAAATGAAAAATAAATTGAGTCCATAACTGAGTTGCAAATCAAATCATTAATTATCATTTGAAAAAGTACGAAGTAAGGAGGTATACAAATCAATTGAACTAAGGAGGAAACGAAGGTAAACAAACCAATTGAACCGATTATGCAGTCACGGGACAAAGAAGTTGTAACTTTTTGATTTCAACGAGCGAATGATTGATTTTTTTTTCTTCACGTTTTTGTCATTTTCTTTGCAACTATGAGAAACTTAGGGTTCAACATTTGTAAAATGATAGATGAAATTATTTGGAAGGGTTTAGCTGGGTCAAAATTCGAGAAAATTGTTTTGCAGGCGTAAACTAGCCAGTATATAATAACTAACTTTAGAGGTGCTCTTGCTGAGGAATCATGCCCGCAAACAATGCAAACATTTTAAATTTTGGGATCAAATTCATTCTTTAGATAAATGATGAGCTTGGCGTACTGTTTATGCCGCAAATAATTATGCCACAAATAATAGAATTGAAAGAGTTACAAGATCCGGCGTCAAAAAACGGCCAGATAATATGAATAACTATGCGCTGATTATCGAAATAAATCATTAAAAACTGTTGCAGCAATTTTTTTGGAAAAAAACACACTTCTCCAATCTATGCACTGGATTCTCGTTAGCAGTTATGTTGCAAGCAAATTTTGTTAAACTTTCTGGTATAAGTTTTTAATTTATTTGTCATCAAAACAGATATGAACGTTTTTTGACGCCGGACCTTGCAACTCGTTCAATTCCATTATCTGTCGTTTATCGACTGTCTTTTATCGTAATCAAGCTCATCGGCTGTCCAAAAAATTAATTCGATCCCAAAAATTCAAACTCCCAACATTGTTTGAGGAAATGTTTCCTTAGCAAGAACGGCGCTAAAACTTGTTATGATATACTGGCTAATTTACGCCCTCAAAAGAATATTCTCAATTGTTTTGAAGGCATAAATTCTTCAAATTGTTTCACCTACCATTTTGCAAAAATTGAACACTATATCTTTAATAGTTGCAGAGCATATGATAAAAACGTGAAGAAAAACTTCGTTCATTTGCTCGTTGAAATCAAAAAGTTTCAACTTCTATGACCCATGATTGTAGTTTAACAGCTGAATATACAAAACATTAGCAACTAGTACTTAGCATTGACAAAAAATTAGGCACAAATCAACACAATTGAAAACAAAAGGCGGCTAATTAATATATACTTGGCTACCTTCCCAAATGGCATAATTCCCAAATGGCATAAAGATGAGACTTTTCCCAAATGGCATAAATTTCAAGTTTTGGTTGTAATTCAAACGTTTTCTATCAATTTCGAATTCTAAAATTTTGCCAGGAATGAAAATATGTGAAAAAGATTTGGAATTAATTGTTTCCAAACAAATTTAAGCGACAATTGACCACAAGAAGCTTATCAATAACCGCAAGCTTATGCTTTTCGCTTTTGATTATAAAAAAATTCTACAAATTTTTCAAGATAAAATGTCAATCAGTATTTGAATTGACAACTTGACCCATTTTCGTATATTGTTCACGAAAAATTTTGTTTCGATGTCCTAAATGCAACTGTTGCGTGAAGTTTATGCCAATTGGGAATTATGCCATTTTAGACGTAA